GTCCTGATCTGCCAGCTCATGTTGGTGTCAGGGCTCATGAAGGCTGTGCCCTTGTGTACAAAGATGAGGAGCCTGGGCTTAGAAAGAGAAAGACAGGGGCCCGAGGCCATGCGTGAGTTAACAGCAGAGGCGGGGACAGAAAACACATCTCCCGATACCAGCAGAGAAGCTTGTCTCCCGTCTCACAGGCAGAGCCTGGCGCGGCGGGGACAGCGCCGTGGAGGGGCGGTGGCCGGGGCTACCTGGACGCAATCTTGGTGAAGTACTCGTAGGCGTTGTCTGCCGTCGGCTGCAGGTGCTGCAGCATGGCCTGAAATTCCGAGTCGTAGCGCCGGTTGATGTCGTCCCCGATGATGGCGAGCTGGCGGCCCACCTGCCCCATGGTGCTGGAGGAGCAGAAGGCGGCCAGTGAGTTAGGGCCCGGGCTGGCAGTGAACCGCTCTTGCCTGCCTTAGATGCCCTGGCCTGGGGCGCCCCGCCTGGGAAGTCCTGACCGTGTTCTCAGACACGAGGGCTGGCCCGGGCACATGGGCCAGGCTGTGCTGAAAAGGGTGCCGGTTCTGGGATGGGAGTGGTGACCCGCACGCAAAAGGGCAGCAGCAGGAGAAGCCCCTCCTGGCTTGCTCCGCTCCCAGAACCGACACGGCGACCCTGCGTGAGCCTCCGCTTCTCTCAGCACGTCCCCATGGGTCCAAGGGCCGCAGCTCACCTGCTGGGTTCTGGGTGCAAGGTGGCCATCTCTGGGTCAGTAGGCGCAGCCGCCCCCTCGGCCTCCTGCTCCTGCTGATGGCGGTAAAAGACGTAGCTGCGGAAGACCTCCTCCGTGTCCCGGGCCACCTGCTCCTCTGGGGACCAAAGCTGGGAGTCAGGGAGGAAGTGCTCTGGGGAGGAGGGTTCCCTCTGCCGGGGGACACACCTGTCCCTCCTCTGGCCCTCAGGTGACACCTAGGGCTGACTCCGAGTAGAGCTGTCTTCTCACAGCAGCCTTGTGGAGGAGGCGACTGCCCCGTTTACAGATGGGGAAACTGAGGCACGGTGTTAGCGTCACGTGCGCGAGGTCATGCGGCTGGAGTGAGCAGTGTGGCCAGGATGGACTCCCGGGCGTTTGGGTCTCTGATGTTTAGTGTCCAAGGCACCCGGCCGTATGGCTTGGCTTAGGGACCATGGGAAACAGAGTTTGAAATTGCAGCCCAGGAAAGTCACACTGGGATATAGTGAGCAGCCTGGGATGCTCAGGCCAGGAAGCAGCCTGTGCTGGGTGGCAGAGCTGCCGGCCTTCCGGTGGTCCCCTTGGGAGAGGGCACTCTCTTCCTTCCTCCCCAGAGTCTTAACAGCCCGTCTCCCCGTTGGGCGGCCCTGACCAGGTGATAAACCGCCTCACTTCCTTATTTCCCCAGCTGGGATAAGACAGCCGCGCCCACGCCTTCCCTGCTGCTCGCCCATTGCTGGCTGCCTGGGGAGGGCAGGGTGGCCTCCTCAGGCCCCACGCGTCCTTCCCCCCGCCGCTCCCGGGGCTAGGTCTTGCCTGCACCTCGGCTGCTGAGCCGGCTGGCCGCCTGCACTGGGTGGGGATGTGCTTTTCCCCTTTGCGCAAGGCGAGTAAACTGAGGTGGGCCCCTGGGACCGTCCGGGTCTGCTCTTGTCAACCTCCCAGCTGGCCCCGGTGGCTATGGGGTGGGTGAGGGGGCAGACAGACCCTTACCCGAGGTGGAGGAGGGGTCAGGCTCGCCGCAGCCCTGCCCGGGGGGACCTGGGCCTTGTCCGGAAGCCATTCCTCAGGTCCTGGGGAGAAGAGGAGTGTCAGACTGTTGGGGGCAGCTAGGAAAGCAGAGATGGGACCAGGGGCTCCGGCAGTTCATGGAGGTGTGGAGGGCCGCCTCTGGAAAGACCCACTGACCCAAGAACTTATCACTTCACTGGCGGCTCTTCAAGGAAGACTGGGGCTGAGGAAGGCCAGGCAGCCAAGACTCCCCCCACCGGGGACCAGCCCAGGCCCTGGGGCGGGGAGGCCACAGTCGTGGCCAAGCGGCTGTCTCGTCACGTCTTACCCCACTCTGGGCAGGGGAGGCGAGTTTCAGAGGCGGGGTTTCCTTCCGCTGCCGCTGGGGCCCCCTGCACCCTATCCAGTCCATGCTCACCGCAGACTCGCCACCTTCCAGCCAGTGACCCTGAAGGCCGTCCCCGAAGGTCCCACTCCCCCCACGGCTAGTCAGAGCACACCTGTTCTCCAACTCGGGCCTGTTAGCTGCACACATCTCGCGAGCGCCTCTGGTGCCCTCCTCACATGTGCGGGAGGAGGCAGGGTAGGCACCGTCATGCCCACTGCACAGGTGGGAAAACTGAGGCACAAGGAAGGCCCCAGGCCGCAGGGCTAGTCAAGCCGTCAGGGCGATCTGAATTTCCACACTTGTCCATTCTCTCCTCAGCGCTCATGTCAGACTTGCTTCCCAGTCTGTGGGACCTCAAAGCGGCTCCTTTGCAGGGCTGCCTTCCCTGCTGGTGTCGGTCTCTGCCCTTGCCCCGCCTGCCTGGCAGGTGGCTGAGGAAGCCACGTGTACCCCTCGCCCTCCTGTCTCCGGCCCCCGTCTTCCCCCTCCGCCGGGTTCTGACCACAGCCCCTGGCGGCTCAGTGAGCCCTGGGCAGCACAAGTATTTCCTGGACATAAGCTGTTTCACTTTCAGTTTGCACGTTCCTCATTGCCCCGCGCCCCAAAGCTGCCTCCATCACCCAGGCGGGAAGGCCCCTCCTCCCGTCACTCGGGAGGGCCCAGCCTGGGCCTAACACACATGCCGCCCTCTCCTCCCAGGGAGGGCCGGTGTACCCCCTCCTCCCTGGGAAGGCCTGTGGACCATATACCCTCCCCCCTCAGGCCTGGGGCCATTTTCCAAAGGACCTCAGGAGAAGGGTGGGGAGCGTCCACCTGTGTGCCCCACCCTTCACTGTAAAAGGGGCAGGGACGGGGAGAAGGGACTCGCCCCTCCTGCGGCCCGCGGTCCCCCGCCTGCTTAAGACATAACTTTGCTTGGCACCCCGCATCCTAGAAGCTGCTTCCCAAACAAGGCGCCTTTCTCCCTCCCTTGGTACCCAAACGCGGTGCCCCCCAGGACATCATCAGGGCTGAAGGATGCTAACTGCACCTCGACTCCCTTTCCCGGTACCCCTGGGGCTCACCACTGGGGATAATATGGAGCCTTGGAACTCGCCCCAGGGCCAGAGGCCTGAGCCGACCCGGGACTTCCTCTGCCCCCATCCAAGTGGCCTGACTTCCTGGTGGGGAGCGTCCACTGTGCCCCATCCTTTGGGTTTGCCAGGCCCAGGATGCTGCTGGAGTTGGGGGGAAGGGGGCAGATCCTGACCTGGTCTTAGGACTCCCGGGGCAGCAGGAAGCACTGTGAACGATCCCCCGCCGCCCTTGACCTTGACTCTGACCTCCACTCCCATCCCTCAGACTGCCAAAGAACCTGGCTCTTTGGCACGTGATTCTCGGGCAGCCAGGGCCAGGGCAAGAGGGGGCGCAGCCTGAGGGGCAGCCCGAGGGAGCCCCGGCTGGAGTGGGCCACCTTCAAGGGTTGGTGGAGCTGCCCGGGCAAGCTTCGCGGCATCCCCCTCCCCAGCGGGCTCCCCAGGGGCTCCCTGCCTCACCCCTGGGCCTGGGGCTGCCCAGGGAGGGGGGCATGGGCAGGGCTGTCCTGGCTTACCTCCCCGGACCCTGACCCAGGCCCGGGATGGCCCAGCGGGGTGGAGGCCAGAGATCCTGAGGGGCCAGGGACTGCTCCCAGGGTCAGGTCCCCAGGCTTGGCTTCCAGGAAGGGGTGTCAGCGGATCCCCGGTGTCTGGAGTGCAGCCTCTGCCGGTCCCAGCGCGGCCCTAGGGACCCGCGGGGCTGCGGCGATCATAGAGGCGCCAGCGGCTCCCGGCTCCCATCAGCTCCCTCTAGAGGAAGTAGCTCAGTGGCCGCCGGATGCGAAGCCACAGCCCGTGGCCTGAGGCGGGTCTGGGCTCCGCAGGAGAAAGCGGCCTCCCTCCTCCTCCCCCACAGCTTTTCCCCCACCCTGATTCCTGGTCCTCCTTCTCGGTCTGTCCCCTGCTCCCTTCCCTCAGTGTCAGTAAAACAGCCGGGATGGGGAGGTTCCTTGAGCCCCACCCACTGTGTGCCAGGCGCTTTAAAAGCCCTTCGGAGGGACTTCCCTGGTGGTCCAGTGGCTAAGACTCTGTCCTCGCATCTCAGGGAGGTCTGGGTTCGATCCCTGGTCAGGGAACTAGAGCCCACATGCAGCAACTAAGAGTTCACATGCTGAGCTCAGACACAGTGAAGCCAAATGAATAAATATAAAAATAAATAAATAAGAGCACTTTGGAACAACCCTGGGAAGTTGGTGCAGCGGGCCACACCCATCTTACGGGGGAACAAACTGAGGCTGGACTGGCTTAAGGAACCTCTCCCGAGGTCACTGAGATGGGTTTATAATCAGGTCTCCGGGAATAATACTGAGATTCAGCATGCAGTTAAGACTGTGTGCCAGGCGCCTACCTTGGTGGTCTCCACAGGGGAAATGTGACGTCACCCTGAGTGTGACGGGCAGGCACGCAGGAAGGAGGGCACGGCGGGGGGGCCCACGCCAGCTGGACGCTGAGAAGGGAGGGGGAATGAGTGGATCCCAAGGACGGCAGGGCCGCAGGGGAAGGACAGGCGGGGAGGAGAGAGCCCTGGGCTGCCCTGGACCCCATCCTCAGAGCTAGGGTTCCTCGGGACTGCTCTGCCTGCCCCCCCACTGTCTCCTGGGGCCTCCCCAACCCCCCCAAGCCCCCACCCCAGCTGGCTCCCCAGGCCTTGTCAAACCCCTGCCCACTCTGCTCCCAACAAATGCCCCCCCCCCCCCTTCTAGAACTCTTGGAAGTTTCCAACTGGAGGTTTTCAATTTGAAAACCCCCTTCTGTTCTTAAGCAGTTGGTCCTGTGGTGGCTGTTGCGGCCGCTCCGAGTCAGGGACCCTCTCAGGATGGAGGCCCCTGCTTCAGGCCCTCGACCCCGAAGTTTGGGCCACTCCTCCATGTTCTGCTTTTTCCGGAGCTTGGTGGGCAGCAAGCGCAGCCCAAAGAGCTCAGACAAGGCCCCGCGGAAGGGCCTGAGGGGGCAGGACGCCGTCCCTTTGATGACCAACTGTCGGGGACGAGCCGCATGGAGCGAGTCCAGGCCTCCCACCAGGCTGACCTGCGCCCGCCCTGAGGCCCTGCTGCGGCCCAGCCCCTCGGGGCTGCAGATGGGGGACCCAGGGCCCCAGACCTCCGCAGCCGCAGAGGTCCTGAGGGTCGTGACTCGGAGCGTAGAGGTGAAGCCAGTCCTGCCGAGAGGAAGCCAGGAGGTGCTGGGCCACCTGTCTGAGCTGGAGGAGAGGGAAGAGGCGGCCAGAGGGGAGGCCTCAGGGAATACGGGGACCTCAGAAAGGTGAGGGGCTGGGCTGGGGATGGAGGAGCTGGGGGGAGTCAGGGTGTCAGGAGGGAGGAGGACGTGGGCCTGAGGTTTGAGGACCCGAACTGGGGACAGACCAGGGGCTTCGCTGGTAGCTCAACTGCTAAAGAACCCACCTGCAAGGCAGGAGACCCCTGTCTGATTCCTGGGTGGGGAAGATCCCCTGGAGAAGGGAGAGGCTACCCACTCCAGTATTCTGGCCTGGAGAATTCCATGGACTGTAAAGTCCATGGGGTCGCAGAGTTGGACACGACTGAGCTATTTTCACTATCAGGAACGGACTCCTTGGGTGGGCAGAGGACTGGGTGGGCATGGTCATTCACATCAAGGTGGAGAGGAACCTGGAGATGACAGAGGGAAGCTGAGACGGGGGTCCTCCTGCAAGTGAGGGGTTGTGGATAGGGGCACTGAAAAGACAAGGGTATAGGCCAGGGGCTAGGAAAGGTGCGTGTGGGGTGAGTTGGCCTTCCATCACTTCCCAGCTCCTTGCTGGGCCCCTCCCCTCCTCCCTACTTTTGAGGGGATCATCCTCCTCTCTGATGAAGACCCCAGAGGGCAGAGCAGAGAGCAGTGGGGAGCAGGGGGTTGGAGGAGCTGTGCAGGGCCTTGGCGGGGGTTTGGGACCTTCACCACCTCTCTGGGCCCTGCCTGCCACCCCCATCTGACTGTGCTCTGGGGTCAGGAACGACTCTGCCCAGGCCTTGGCGGTGGAGCTGGGATGCATACCGAGGGCTGTGGGGCCACTGGAGTTCAGCCCCGAGGCCTTCAGGGAGGAGGAGCGTCTGCTTGATGGTGAGTGTGGTGGCCGCAGGCCCCGGGGGACGGCCGGGGCGTTGGGCTGGGGAGGAGGCGGGGCAGTTTGAGCAGAGCTGGATCCCAGTGCCACTCTGCCCAGGCGGTGTGAGGGCGGCAAGTCGCTCAGCCTTTGTGCATCTCAGTTTCCCCATCTGTAGAATGGGAGCATGATAGCACCCCTGTCAGAGGGCATTAGCAAGGATTAAGTGAGACGTTCTCTCTTTGTGAAATGCCTAGAACTGTGCCTGGCATATAGCAGGCATTCACCAAAGGACACAAGGAAAGCTGGCCCTAGCTCAGCCCTCCCGAAGCACCCGTGCTCCTCAGGCTGGGCCTCCACCCTTTGCTGTGGGCCCCCAGTGACCACTGCCCTCCACAGGTGACCTAAGGCTGGCCTCCTCCAAGGTGGGGGCATCTCCCTGGAACCGCCTCCGCGGCTTGCACAAGCGGCTCCAGAAGGGGGCCATGGCCAAGGTCCGTGGGGCCCCAGCGCGCGGAGAGGGGCGGAGGCGGGGTGGGCCCGGGAGAGCGGCGCCCGTCTCCCCGCCTCCTGCTCTCTGCTTGGGGGTCGGGGTCGGGGTGGGGGTGGGGCCCCAGGCTCGGGCCGCCCTCCTCACCTGCGGGGTGGCGGTCACACCCAGTTCCCTCTCAAGGAAGGCCTGCCCCGAGAGGAGCCAGGCGAGGAAGAGGAGGCGCAGGAGGAGGAAGACAGCGCCCTCAAGCTCTGCGTCCCAGGCACCGTCACCCTCCAGTCACCAATGCATAAGGCCTTCAGGTCAACGGACACAGTAGGTGGGTGTGCTGCCCGCACCCCCTCACCCCGCCCCCAGCCCCGCTTTGACGGAGCGGCCCTCAGATGCGATACCAGTTAATACCACCAGGGGGAGCCATAGGACCTAAAATGATCGCCCAGGCCGGGAGGCGGGGGAGGCGGCGGGTTACGACCCGGACAGTGGCCCCTCCAGCACCACCCTTTCCCAGCCCAGAACTCTAGCTCCTTCAGTGGCGCCCCCCTGCACCCCCAGTTTTCCCATCAGGTGTGCACTTGCTGTGACGGTGCCCAGGGGGCCCCCCTCTCGCATCGCAGCCACCTCGCCACTCTGGTGTGGCGAGCAGATGTCTTAGTGGTAATGAACGACAGCCTCCAGTAAAGTCGCCGTTGACATTTTGCTTACCATGGGCCAAACCCCCTCCTAAGCACTTTTCATGCAATGCTGCATTCTGACTCTGAGGTCGGTCCTGTTATATAGTCTCCGCTTCCCTGTGAGATCACTGGGGCCCAGAGGGGTTAAGTAATTTGTCGACGATCACCTCGCTGGTCAGTGGCAGAGCTGGGGCTTGAACCCCCCGTGAAGTGGGTTTCTCCGGACTGGTAACGCTGGACTTGGTAGCTGGAGGAGGCGGGGCGGGGTGGAGCAGATGTCTGCCCCTCGAGTGAACGCTGTCCCCGGGGAGGCAGGTAAAGAGAGTCACATTCACGACGGGAGCAGGGAGCCCAGTGAGCGTCCTGGGACAGGCTGGGCAGTGGGGAGGTGGAGTCCGGCGGGCTCCAGGGGCCCGACTCGGGGGTGACCAGGGGCCACGAAGGGCAGGGAGAGGTTTGGAAAGCTGGGGCCACTTCGCCTTCCTCAGATCCCAGGCAGGCTGCAGCTGCCCCCTCCTGCCTGTCCCATGCCCGTCTCTCTGGCTCTCAGGTTTTGTGGAGGCGGAGCTAAAGAAGCTTCTGGTTGTTCAGAGGGAGTCCCGCCTCTGGAAGATGGGCGACTACGACGGCCGGGAGCTGCTGACCCAGCCAGAGATCACCCTGGAGGAGGCGGGCGTCGTGGACGGCCAGGTACGCCCACCCACCCACCACCCCGCCCCGCCTGCGGGCACCCGGAGCCTGGGGCTGGAGACCGCCAGTCTGCGTAGGCTGCGGGCCCAAGCTCCAGTCACCCCCGCCCCCTGCTGGGCAGGAAGGGCATAAGTCCTTCTCCGTGGTGGTCTCTCCGAGAGCAGGACCCCGACCTCCTAAGCACACGCTTCTCCATCCGGCTCGTTCTCACTTAGCCCAGAGCCGGTTGCTAAGGCGTCACTGCCGCGCACTTGCCTGTGTGGTTTTGGGCAAGTCCCTCGCCCTCTTTGGGGTCAGTTTCCTCATCTCCACGGGGAGGGAGTTTATCAGGCGGCTTGACGGCTTCCCTGCGCCTCTGTCATTCGCATAATGTCGCTCTTTTCCCGTCTTCTCTCCCAGTCACATCCACACCTCCTCCCACAAACACACACAGGCGGCAGGGGAGTCGCCAGGGGTAACAGTGGGGACCACCCCCAGCCCGCCCTCTTTGACGTTGGCCTTAAAGGTTAGGCCTGTCCAGGCTTCTCTGAGTGCACTGATAGATCTGTTGATGAAAAAATGTGTCGATTTCCTTTCTGGGTTAATTTCCATTCGTTCATCAGCTCACCCTTTCCTTCAGTGGACATCTGCCCCCCTACAGTCTGTGTAGTTCACAAAAGGAAGGCGCAAAGTCTGTAGTAGCCTCTGCTGTGGCCTGACTTGCTCTGTGCCTTTGAATATGGGCTTTGGTGTCCTCACCTGGAAAGGGGGCATTGGAAGATGAGAGGAACTGAGGAGTGTGTGGCATGCGGTCAACTGCAAAGGGCACTCCATCTCAGGGATTATGACTCACCCCTCGAGGGTCACGAATCCCAGGAATCCTTGCCCACCCCTCATCCTGAGCCTTGGGCCATGTCACCGGGTGCCCCGGGTGCTCTGGGGAGCCTCACCCTAACCCACACAAGTCCTGGCTCCGGTAGGGCCCCTGCTTTGGGCTTTTCCTGCTGAAGGGACCTTTTCTCCCCTGCCCCCTCCAGGGCCGCCCCGTGAGCTGGCCTGCCCTGTCCCGGGCGGCGCAGTCCTAGTTTAGCCTGAGCACACCGGGGCCCACCAGGGGGTTTCTGGGTGGTGGCGGTGAGCGCGGGCTGGCGCCTCACCAGGGGACGGGGCAGCCTCGGGAAGAGCTTCCTGCTGGGGGCGTGTCGAGGGTCCTATCCGCATCACCACCCCCTCTCTCCTTGTCTGCCCTCAGGGACACCAGGCTGAGGGGGAAGGAAGCCAAGCCCCGGCCTTTGGGGAATGCCGGGGCCCTGGGGGAGGGGTGCCGAGGCCGCAGAAGCATCGCCCTGGGCTGGAGGTGGGGGTGCCGAGCCCCCTCGGTGTGGTGTCCAGGACAGAAGTGAGGGAGGGCATGGGCCGGCTGGGGCTGCTCCCCGCAGGCCGCAAGGAGGCAGCTCCAGGCTGGTGGGCCTGGGCCAGCTGCGGGCCCTGGGGGCGGCTTCGGAAAGGTGGTCTTGGGGTGCTTACCTCTGGGGGTGCAGGTGGGACGTTCAGGGGGGCACTGAACAGGGAGAGGAGAGTCCAAAGACACCAAGTCCTCCACTTTCACCCACTTGTTACCCCCAGCACCTGCTTCTGGAGGAGATGGACGAGATGGGAAACTGGCCTCCAGAGTGAAGCCGGCGCCGCCCGGGGTCCCTGCAGGTGTGGAGGGATGGAGCCCCGCTTCTCAGGGCACCTCAAGGAGCCCCTGGGGTCAAGGGGTCTCAAGATAACCCGTGTCTGTGCATTTGCAGGGTGGGCCTGCCCGGCAGACTGCTCCCGCTCGTCAAAGTCAAGCCCAGCACGTTACTAATAAAACTCAGTTGGCATTGGGCTCCTTGGCTGTCTGTCTGCCGAGCCCGCCCCTCGTCCTGCACCGGGAACAAGCCCAGCGTACCCAGGGTCTCCGTCTTGTTCTCGTCGGGGCCCACAGGCCCCCGGCCACCCCAGCTGCAGAACCCCAGGCTCCATCTGAGCTGGAAGACAGCAGGTCTGATGTACCTGACCCGGGCGGGGAAGGACCTGGGGGCCACGAGGCCTGCAGGCCCCGACTTCCCTTCCTCTTGAGTTCCCAGGCCCAGCGTGGGGCCTCCAGGGAGGATCCGGGAATTCTCCAGCAGGAAGTCCCTGCCCAGCCGGCACGGGGACAAAGCCAGGAAAGCAGACCATGGGGACCTGCCCCAGGGACCGGGCTGGGGGCAGGTGAGAGGCCCCTGGGTAAACGGAGGTGTGCCACAGGGGTGGGGGGGCCGGGGCCCACCCTGCCAAGTGGAGTGCCGGGCACCTCTGGGGACCCTGGGTGCAGGGAGGTCCAGACATCTAGGAGAAGACATTCCTCCAGCTCTACCGAATTCCAGAAGCGAAGGTGGGGTTGAGTTACTGGCCATGGGAGGCACACCTTCATCCCTGGCTTCGTGGGCATCCAATGGGGGGAGGGCCAGCACAGTTTGGACACCAGGAGGCGCTGTTTGCCGGGAAGGCCGGCTGGCTGCCCATAGGGTGCTTGTTCATTCCCTCCCGGTGGGGTCCGGGCTCTGAGCCCCCAGCGTACACGTGAGACAGCTCACACCGCCCCAAGGCTTATCAACACCACTGCTGTTTACAGACACACACTGGTCTTCTCCACGGGGCTCCCACTGGGTCCAGCCCAAGGCCTGTACAGAGCTGAAGTTCAGTGTCAGAACACGGAAGCCGCTTGAATAATTATTGTGATTGTTTACAGCAGCTGTTTGTCAGTCAGATGGGAGTGCTTGGGGGGGAGGGGGTGGTCAGCCCGCTGACCTCCCGCCCAGCCCCGCCCAGCCCAGCGAAGGTGAGCGCCTTGCCTCCCACCCCCGCAGCCAGGGCTCAGAGGGGAGCTCGGAGACAAGATGGCTAGTGATTCACAAGTGGGCCAGGGCTTCCCAGGCAGACTGCCCACCCCCTGGAATCCTTGACTCAGGCCCTGAGCTGGGGCCGGTGGAAGGGCCCATGCGACTGTCCCCCTGAGTCAGCTGGGAGGCGGCCTTGTGATCAGATGACTCACCTGGGCCCTGATTCCTTCCTCCAGGATGTTGGCTGGTGGGAAGCGTGGGGGCCTCGGAGGGCGGCCTGTGGGCTCCCTGGTGTCTTCCCCGTGGACGCAGCCCTCCTCACAGACCCCACGAAGAAGGTGCTTCTCTGCCTTCCCCCTGCCTGGGAGGCCCGCAAACTTGGTGCCAGCCATGCGCAGGCTGGAGGGGAACCCCCAGGTGCAGAGCAGTCCAGACACCTCCCTGCCCCCTCCCCCGGTGCCTTTGGGCAGGACCAGCGGCCCCTGGGCACAGGCAGGCACCACATTGGGTCAGGGTAGGCTGGACCCTGCAGGCAGCTGCTCACGTGAGCCAAGGGGCCTGCGAGGGACCTCCCCAAATGGACCTCGGTTCTTGGGGAGCGTCTCAGCCTTGGACCCCCCCTCTGCTCCTCTCTTTCCCCTTCTGTCAAGTGAGGGTCCTGGCACCGCGTGGTCCACCCGCCTCCCTGGGTTCCTGTGAACCCCAGGGAAGAAGGTCAGTGAGGCTGGGAGCAGAAATGGGGTCTGAGTCAACGCAGACTTGAGGGCCCCTCCCCGGCCCCAGACGGTCCTTGGCCGGCTTCTGTGGATGGGCCTGGCTTGACACTCACGAGTGGGGAAGGCGGGGGTGACAAGGCCCAGGGACCTGCTGTGCGGGAAGGCCTGGGGGGCGTATGCAGAGGGCTGGGCACAGGCCCACCCTGCAAGGGGCCAGGGGCCAGGCAGGTGTGCCCGAAAGGCTTTGGGGGAACGCTGCCGATGCATCTGTGGGTCTGACCCGAGGCCTGGGCGGCACTGCAAGCTGTCTTCCCAGGACTTTGGTGGAGGTCCAGTGTTTAGGACACCGCGCTTCCACTGCAGGGGGCACAGGTTCGATCCCTGATCAGGGGATCAACACCCGGCCTGCCGTCCCTGGTGTGCAGGCAGCGAGGGGAGGCGGCTGTGCACCGCTTGCAGGTTGGGTCCTGTACCAGGGGGCTTGGCTTGGGGGCGAGGGGCTCTGAAACCCCGAAAGCTGCCTCTTTCTCATATGCGCAAAGGGACTAGTCAGGCTGCTGGTGCCCAAGTCAGGTCCAAGTCGAGCTGAACATCAGAACTCGCCAGCCGCTGCCCCGTCCTGATGTCTCTCTCCTCCACCCCTTGTTTTCCTCCACCGCTCACTGTTGGTAGCTGCACGTGGGCCTCTGTTTCTATCTCTCTTACTGAATATCTGGGGGGGACAGAGGTGAGAAACAGCCCCTGGATCCATTCTGACGGTACGTGGGGGACAGTGGGGCTGAAAGGAAGGCACTAGGTGGTGGTGGGGGCAATAGGGTGGACAGAAAGGTGGGCAGGGTGAGAGGCAGGCCTGCCTGCCCCGGGAGACGGTGGTGGGGCTCCTGGGCAGTGCCTTCGAGGAAAATGCCACCTTGAGGCCCGCGCAGAGGCAGTGGTGGTCAGCATTGCCTCTCCCGGGGCAAGGGAAGGGCAGCGCCCCCTGGGTCATTTTCCAGGTGGGAAAGGAGCTGCAGGAGCAGAGGGGAGAGGCTCCACCAGGTGGCAGCCAAAGCTCCAGCTTGACAAGCTCACGTGACTGCAGGCAGGCCCCTGACCTCCCTGAGCCTCAGTTTTCACTTCCTGGAAATGGGCGAATCACAGGTTTCCCATGCAGGCTGAGTGAAGTGCTGTTTGGCAGGGATCAAATACCAATACTGATTAAGCACCCACCACATACTATTCTAGGCACTGGGGCGGCGGGCGCGGGGTGGGGAGAGACACTGAAGAGACACTGAATCTCCACTTTTTGAGCGTTTAGGATTGCTAGCAGGATAAACTGAACAGAGACTGGATCCAGGCGTGGCAGGTGCTGTGAGGAAGCTGCTGGGTGGCTGTCTCAGAGGGTGGGACGGGGATGCCTCTCTGAGGAGGTTTTGTGGACGCAGGGACCGTCGGGGAACACCCGGGGCCGGGGAGCAGCAGGGGCCGATGCCCTGAGGCAGGAGCAGGCCTGGGGCAGGTGAGGAACGGGAAGCAGCCCTGTGTGGCCACAGGGGCAATGAGATCAGGAAGGAAGGAGATCACATCCTTTGTTGATCCGGGTTTTGAGAGTTTATTTTTATTTATCTTAAAAGTTTCTCTTTATCTGTCTGTGGCGGGTCTTAGCTGCAGCAGGCAGGGTCTTTCATTGCAGTTTGCAGGATCTAGTTCCCTGACCAGGGATCGAACCCCGGCTTCCTGCATTGGGAGTCTTAGCCACTGGATCCACCAGGGAAGTCCCTTGAGGGGTTTAAGCTTATCAGACCGAGTGACCAGACGTGGTTAATATTTTAAAAGACCCCCTTGGCGGCTGCATAGGGACGAGACCGTAGGAGTGAGCCGGAGTGAGGCGTGGGCCGCTCAGGAGGTTGCTGGGGTCCGGGGTGAGTTCCTCGCGGGCTGCTGCTGTGACGAGGGCAGTGGGGCGGCGTTGAAAGCGGCCGTGAGGAGTACCGGAGGGGCTCGACCACCAGGGGGCGCCCCCGGCCCTCGGCGCTCAGCCGGGCCCCCGCGGCCGCCTTCGGGTGGGCAGGGTCAGCCTCGCGGTGTGCAGTCGGAGGAGGGCCTGCCGGCCACCGTGGGCGACGGCGGCCGGGGCAGGCGCTCGACCTCAGCAGGGTCTGTGCGCGCTCAGGCCCCGCAAATGCGCCCTGGCCTCGACGGCCCCGCCATCCGAGGGTGCCCCGCCCGCAAAGGTGCGCACCTGGGCCAAATGCCCAGCAGTGGCTATTTTCATGTCCCCCTCACCCCCCACCCCCGGATCCCCGGGTCGCGGAGGGCTGGGGCTGCCTCTGCTGAAGGCAGTTCCATTTAACCGGTCCGGAGACCAAGCAGAAACAACTTCCTCCCTGTCCTCCTGAAATCCACAGTGGGCAGGTGGGGTCAGGGCGACCCTGCAATAAAAATCAGAGCAGGATGTTGCTATAACACAGGATTGGAAAGCAGAGGAAGGAGCCAGTGATTCCATCAGGGAGGAACCTAGAAGGCCTCAAAGAGGAGGAGGCACCGTCTGTGAAGTGAGGGGAGAGGGCATGTCTGCCAAGGGGACCCGCTGGGGATGGGGGGAGTGTCCAGTCGGCACTGGGGCCCCACTGTCTGCCTCTCTGACCCACACGGAACCGCCCCGGTCTCCCCTCTCCCAGGTCTCCCTGTTCGATCCGCCCGTATGTGAACTTGGCCCTGGGCTCCCTGCCGACTGTCTCTCTGTACACGTGCGGCCTCGGGCCTTGGCTGGGCCCGGATCACAGCCACACTTCCCGAGCCCCTCACGGCTGCTGCCCCCAGGTCTTCCCGGCTCCTTCTCAGAGCCCTGCCCACCCTATACAGCTCAACTCTGGCAGCTCCTCTTCTAGGGTCCTCACAGCTCCCTGGCTATGGAACTAACGGGATCCACGTGTTTCCCTGCTCCCCCCTCCCCTGGACAGACGCGTCGTGAAGGCAGGCCCCGGGGGGCTTTGTCGCCAGGCCTGCGTGCCCGGCACGGTGGCTGGCATAGAGCGGGCTCAGCAGTACTGGCTGAGAGAAGGAGGGAGGGCAGCGGCAGGAGGGCCTCGAGGACAGAGCTGGAGTGTAGGAGCCGGGTTACATAGGGCCGACTAAGCCAAGCTCAGCGGCTTGCTGTGCATCCTCAGGGCTGTGGGAGCCGTCGAGGGCTATAGAGGTGAGGGAGCGGCTCTATTGTGGCATCTAGGATGAGGCGTGCGGTGGAGAGGCAGTGAGGGCAGGGGGTAAGTAGGGGCTGTTACACTTGTTGTAGTGAGAGGTGCGGGGCTGAGCTGGGACAGAGGCAGGCAGGGTGGCTGGGAGGACCCTCGGGCAGCGCTTCTCATCGGTGCCGTCGTGTCTGCCCAGGGACATCCGGCAGCATCTGGAGATGTTTCTGGCTTGTCACAGCTTGGGCCAGGGTGCTCCCAGCATCTCATGGTGGAGACCTCCCTAGTATCAGTGTATCCTCATCTTTAATGAAGATTATTGGGAAGAGTAAATGGGTTAATACACGTTCAGTGTTTTGAAAAGTGGCTGATACGAATTAAGCACTAGGTAACATGAGTTACTGTTGCTTTTTCCTTTTTAGCCACACCGTGCGGCTTGCAGAATCTTATTTTCCTTAGCAGGTCAGAGATTGAACCTGGGCCCCAGCAGTGAAAGTGCTGAGTCCTAGCCGCTGGACTTCCAATGAATTCCTGAGCTCCTGTCATTTTAAAACATAAACGCTTAAAAAATACTAAAAAAAGAAAAAAAAACAGTTTAAAAAAACAACTAAACAGTTAATATTAGTAATAATTCCTCTGTCTAAAGCCCTACACTGAATCTCCATCACCCAGTGAGAGCCAGTTCCTTCCAAGGCCCCTTCCCGTCTGGGCCCTCTCTGTCTCCAGCCTCATCTGCCTGCCCTCCTGCTGTCTCTGTGCGCTCGGCCAAGCTGGCCTCTGCTGTTTCCTGCACACTCAGCCCGCTCCTGCCTCAGGGCCTTTGCACGTGCTATTCCCGCTGTGTTGCCAGCTCTGCTCCTAGGAATTTACATGACTCACTTCCGTACCTACTTGACGTCTTTCCTTTGCTGTCACCTGTCACCTTCTCAGCCACCTGTATAAAGAAAAAACCTCTCTCTTCCAGGCCACTCCCTCTCTGTGCCCCTCCCCTGCTTCATTTGTCTTCACAGCACTTCCATCATCTGACACATGTATTTAGTTTGTTTATGTGCTTAGGGCCTCTCAGCTGGAACGTGAGCTTCACCAGGGCAGGCAGTGTTGCCTATTTTGTTTGCTGCTCTGTCCCCAGGGTCTAGAGCCTTACCAGTACCTTTCAAACACCCTTACACATTGCTTAAATGAATGAATGGATGGAATGCAAAGCCCCTCCAGGACTCGGAGAGGTAGGGCGGGCATGGAGAGAAGGTAGGACTGTGAAGGGGAAGGAGGGGCCTGAACGCATCTCTGGAAGGGCCAAGGTCCTGGCACTGCTTGGAGCGTGGAGCTGGCGCATCCGCCCTCCCCAGACCTCCCGCCCCAGCCCGCTGGCTGGGACCCTCCCGCTATCAGTGCCCTGCCCTACCCGCCAGGCCCCAAACACGCCACCCCCAGTCTGGGCAAGTGACCAGGTCTGAACAAAGTGTCCTTTCCCCTTTGATAAGCTGCCTCCTTCCAGGGGCACTCAGGCCAGGATATGTCCTGCTGCTCAGGAAGTGCCTGAAGGCCTGGGTGGGCCCCTGGAGTGGGCACTGGCTGCTGCAGCAGCCACCCTGCCCAGAGGCCCAGCAGAGGAGCGAGGGCAGCGGCGGGGGGACCCCTGCCCACAGCCAGCCCCAGCACGCACCTGCGCCTCGTTCCTTCAGCGGAAGTCTCTTGAGAGCCTCTCGGGTGCACAGCTGTGAGCGGGGGACCCTGGTGGACGTGGGTGAAGGAGGGCAGAGGCTGGGTGACAGGCTGCCACACGTGGGGTGCTGGCCTGCCTGGGGCACTTTGCCCTGGGGACTGTGGGGCAGGCGGGGTGCTGGGGGAACGTTTTACCTCTTGGTTCAGGGAGGAGCTGGAGATGATGTGTTTGTCTGGCCTCTCTGGCCCCCCACGCCCCCTCCCCCGTCTCTGCAGGTGTTTCCGTGGTTGACTGTGCCACCAGGAAGCTGTCCATGGTTTCTGATGATCGTCACCCTCTTCTTGAGAGCCCTGAACCGCGAGACCCCAGGATCTGACTCCTAGCCCACAGGCTTCCTTCTCGCTCAGCCCCTCCCCGTGAAGCCCTGTCCCCCCATGCTGCCTTGACTTCCCCGTCAGCCCTGGAAAACCCGGGTCCTCAGGGAGGGGAGGACCTGGGTCCTTGGTGATGGAGCACAGTTTCTCCCAGGAAGTGGGGTAACCCTCCCACCTCCAGCCGCATGCACGAGTCCTTGTGGGCACACACACTCGCACTCAAACACCCCTGGGGCACTTGCACCACCACCCACACACACCTCTCCAGGTCACTCACCCATCCTGGGCCTCAGGGCCCAAGGGCTCCTTGGTCTTCACTGTCACAGACGGGCCGGATGGAGCTGAGGCAGGTGCAGGGGCCCAGGCTCTACACTCTCAGGGCCCCCGTCTTTGTAGGATGGATGCTGCCTCGAGGTCTCCTGGTGTCCCCCAGGGCCTGTAACCTGTGAGATCCCAGGTAGCACGGGGAGAGAGCCCTGTTCTGAGACGTCACCTGAGGTCAGTCTAAAACATGGGCCCAACACCCTTTGGCTGTCTTCCCAGGGAGAGGGGATCCATGTCCTTCTCCCCTTGCTTCTGGAAGGGCCATGACTGCCTCCATCATCAGGTACTGTGGGAGGGATGCTCTGTGACTGCTGAGGCTGAGTTAGAGAAGAGCACCCAGGTTCCACCTCTTCCCTCTGGGATAAAGCAGCCCCTCTGTAAGAAGTCAGAAGCCACGTGGAGTGGAAGCCACGTGGAGGGGGTCCCATCCCGCAGCTCAGGGGCGCTCCTCCTGCTGGCCGTGCCGGGAGCAGCCACTGTGCACCACCAGCCCAGCAGAGCCTTGCGATGACTCCACCCCAGCTGGCACCTGATGGCAATCACACGGCAGACCCCCAGCAAGACCCAGCTTCTGGAAGCCAGGCCCTTCCCGAACCCCCGACTCACAGAACTTTGAGCAAAATGAAATGGTCATTGTTTCACACGACCAGGTTTTGGAGAATTTGTTAGGTAGCGGTAGTCATTGGAACACTGTACCCACCCAAATATCTCTCGGTTCTTCCCTTAGTTCTCTCCCCAGCTTGCCTCTCAGGCTGAACCCGCCTGGACTGGACTCAGAGGCCTCAGAGATGTGGCCTGGGGTCTGAGGATGCAGGGGGAGCTGGGTCAGGCTGCCCGCCGCCCACCCCGGGAGCGCTTCCCGTACCTGATGGCAGTAACCTGCCAGATCTGACAGTGAGCCTCGGCGGCACCTCCACTGGCCCCTCCTGTTCGGCCAGGACAAGGGCTTCCCTCGTGGCTCAGATGGTAAAGAATCCGCCTGCAATGGGGGAGACATGGGTTCAATCCCTGGGTTGGGAAGATCCCCTGAAGGAGGGCATGGCAACCCACTCCAGTATTCTTGCCTGGAGAATCCCCATGGACCGAGGGGGATTCAGAGCCCCCATGGAATCTGCGGGCTACAGCCCATGGGGTCGCAAGGAGTCAGACACGACTGAGCGACTGAGCACATTCACATACACAGGGTGTCCTTGATGCCTATCTCTGTGCCTGTGCTGGCTCTCAACCAGGCTCAGCCCTCAGCCTCTGGCACCCCTGTCTCCAAGGCCTTGCCTCCTGTCCCCGTCTATTAGCAGAAGCGCAGGATGGCCGGTCAGCAGGGCTCAGAGCTGCAGGAAACTGGGGCCTGGCACGTGGCTGGGGTTTGAAGCCAGCGGGGGTGAGAAGGGCACATCAGAGACTGACCCGGCTCCCCGAACTCCCCAGGGGGACTGGGATGCACAGTGGGAGCTGGTCGACATCACCGCCGTGCCTGCCTCTGTCCCTTCCCTGCCTCGCCTCTCCCGTCCTCTATTGGGGTTCACTCTGGTCACCTCCATTTGTGCATGTGCCTTTGAATCTCTGTGTCCTGGGGAACCCAAACCAGGACTGAGATGGCCAGGCAATGCCTCACTGAACTTACAGAGTTAAGACGATGAGGTGCCAATAAGAGAGCATATGAGATAAACTCAGCAATGACAGCTGCCTCTGTTAAGTGCCCCCTCTGTGCCAGGGACTGGTTGCAGGGCCCAATGTTTGTCACCTCACTGGATGCTCACCACCATCCTCTGCTGTTTGGTGCTTCATCATCCCTCTTGGAAGGTAAGCAAACAGATTTAGGGAAGTCACTTATTCCAGGTCAAGAGCTAGGAAATGGCAGGTTGGCCTGGAGAGCCGGGGCTCTGATTAGCAGTGGTCCCTGTGGGCAGCCCCGCAGAGGGCAGAGGTCCTGGGCAAGAAGCGGGACATTTAAACTTAACCTTGAAGGACGAACAGATGTTGGGAAGATGGGGAATCCTGAAAAAGACCTCGAGCCTCAGTTTCCTTGCTGTCAAGTGGTCAGAAGGACCATAGCTTTCTGAGGGCCATTTGAAGGTGACATGAGCTGATAGAGACGTAGAGGGACCATAGTACGTGTTCAGTGAGTGCTCATTCTTCCTGCCGCTGAATGGGACCAGCGTTTGCTGTTGGTATGGGCCTGGCTGCAGGTCTGAACAGGCTCTGGAGGCAACCTTCCAGCTCCCATCCCAGCACTCGGGCCTGGAGGGGAGGAAGCTGGAGGAGCCAGAGGAAGTGGATTAGTCCAGAACCCCTGAATTTGGAATCTCACTCAGGCAGCCTAGCATGTTCCTCTTTTAAAGGACCCCATCTCCTCGGACCCCTAATTCTCGAATCTCCCATTCCTGACAGGCTGGACATCCTTCCTGCTGTCTGACCTATTTTCCTCATGCTGTGCATTTTGTCTGTTGGGACAAGGGGGAGCTAATGAATTACGGTGGTTGGCACTGGAATCTGCTGGAATCAAGGCAGGTGCAGCCTGTGTGTGGCCCGCAGATGGTGGTGCCCAGAGGCAGCCTGTCCTGGGTGCGGAGGCCCGCCTGGCCCAGGATGGAGGGAGCCAGGCCGGTCCCCCTGGAAGATGGAGTCGGAGGAAAGAACTGGGCGGCAGCCGGAGGTGGAGGCTGGAGGCACAGGCCTTGGTGGGATCCCTGTCCCAAGTGCGAGGGTCCCCCCCGCTACCACTGAGCAGGCATTTGGGGCAGGGTCTGCGAGGGCAGAGGAACCGCTCTCTGCCAGGAATCTCTGAGAACAGTCCTTCCAGGTCCCCTCTCTGGGGCCCTCTGAAGCCTGCAGATGAAGCCGTAGGCTCCCTGGCCAGGCCGGCCTGAGTGCGAATCCCCCCTCCATCACTTGCTAGCTGTGTGACTTTGGGTGGATCTCTTCACCTCCCTGAACTTTCTTCCTCTGAAAAGCGGAGAAAAACCTTAGTAGCTGGGCAACCTCTACTGACCTGTTCAGTAGCAGAATTTCCCCGTCCCATCCATCAGCTATTTGTCTCCTTGGCTAGTGAGCTGCAGCCTCCTCACCTATAAAAGTAGGGTGGCAGGCTAAGAAGGGAATGGCAACCCACTCCAGTCTTCTCGCTTTGAAAATCCCATGGACAGAGAAGCCTGGAGGTTTACGGTTCATGGTTCATGGGGTCGCAGAGTTGAACACGCCCAAGCGACTACATGCACGCACAGGCCGCGTGCACTAATGCAGCCAGAGCGCCACCTAGGGGTGGACGCAAGATGTCAGCAGTGGGTGGTGGTTTTTGTCTCTCTCTCTGCCCCCCCTACCCCTGCACCCACCCCTGCCGCCCCTGCCCCTCCTGCTCCTAGAGCCTGGGCTTCGGGGGGCCTTCCTCTCTGCGCCCCCAGCCAACACTGACAAGTGCTGAGGGCTGGCTGAGGTGCTGGGGACGCTCCTGGGAGTGGCTGCGTTTACAAACAGGGTGTAGAATAGCAGCAGCGCCAGGCCAAGAGGGAGCTGCTGGGCTCGGGGCTGCCGGGCCCAGCCCTTTGTGTTCTGCGGGTCAGGGGCTGGGCGGGAGCCGGGCGCGTGGTGACCAGGCTTCTCAGGCCCTCAGGGAGCTCTCCCTCTCCCGCCCCGTGCAGGCCCTGCATGCAGCACGGCTTTCATCAGTGTTTGTCGGGTCCCGGGCTCAACCCTCCTCACCGGAATGTGGCTCTGAAGGCCCAAGGCTGGGTTTATTCACTGCCAACCAGGAGACTGCTGCCAACACAGGAGACGCAGGTTCGATCCCTGGGTCGGGGAGATCCCCTGGAGGAGGGTGTGGCGACCCGCTCCAGTGTTCTTACCTGGAGGATCCCATGGACAGAGGAGCCTGGAGGGCTACAGTCCATGGGGTCACAAAGAGTCAGACACCTCTGAGCACACGCGCACAGGCACAGACCAGGAGAACCGCTTCCAGAGAGAAGCCTGCCCAGCGTCGATGGCCCAAACCCGGGGGGTTTCTGCGGCGTTGGGGCCTCAGCCCTAGGACTGCCTTTGGAGGTTCTGTATCTGGGTGGGAGTGGGGGCCGCCCTTCCTTGGGTCTCGGGCAGGCCCGGGAGCTGGGTGGGGGCTGGGAGGAAGAGGCTGATGGCTGGGCCTGGAACCCCTCCTCTCCCCCTCTCGGGCCCCGGCCCCCGGCCGCTCTCCATCTGGCCAGCAGCTCCCCCGCTGCCCCAGGACAAGGGCCCCAGTGTCTGCTCCCTTCCTGGGCAAACAGCAAGCCTTTCTCTCCCTCTCCCCCTAGAGCGGAGTGCCTCGACCATGACCTCTCCTCGCCCCCTCCAGAGGGCAAGGCACACGCCTCGCTAGGCAACCTCTTCTGAATGCTCCAGAGACAAAGGCTGGTAAGCCGGGTGCAGCAGCGGCCCCCAGGCCTCTGTCCTGCCGAGGTGGGTGTGGGGTGCAGCTGGAGGCAGGGCCCAGCCCAGGTGGACTTGACGTCACCCCGCTCGTCTCCTGCCAGACAAAGGCTGCTCCTGCCTGGCCCTGGTCCCAGGAGGGTTTTCTCACTCCTTCCTAAAAAGGCTCATGGCGGCGTTGATGTGAGCTCACCCCTCCAGACCTGCTTCCCTTGCTGGCAGGTGGAGTGTAGGGGTCTGGACAGTTTCCCCTCACGGGGCAGGCCCCCCCCCACCCCCGAGCCTGGAAAGACGCAGAACTGCCAGAGGCCTCCCTCTTCTCTGGGGCTCCTGCCAAGGTCCTGACCTGGGCACCAAGACAGGGTAACCTCAGAGGGTAATGGGGAGCTGTAATCAGACAGCCTCCCCTGGAGCCTCCACCACCCCCCAGTTCTGACTCAGAATGGTAGGGGGCGAGTGCAGCCCAGCCCTGCACCCCTTACTTCTTCCTTCTGGCCAGTGGCTACTCAACTGATTATTCTCCTGGGGAGGGGACACAGAGGTCTGCTTTGTGGATAAAATCTTCTGTCTCATAAACGTCTCTCCCCCAAAAATTCATGTCGATTTATGGCACGTGTGAGTGCTCAGTCACTTCAGTCGTGTCCGAGTCTTTGCGACCCCATGGACTGTGGCCTACCAGGCTCCTCTGTCCATGGCATGCTCCACGTAAGAATACTGGAGTGGGTTGCCATGCCTTCCTCCAGGGGATCTTCCCGACCCAGGGATCGAACCCACACCTATTATGTCTCCTGCATTGGCAATGTTCTTTACCACTAGTTCCTCCTGGGAAGCCCTGATATATAGCAGAAACGACCGATTAAAAATAAATACATTAAAAAAAAAAGTCCATTCTTCGCTCATCCTAGAAAACAAAATTCCACTATTAGGTTGTCATTTCTTTAGGTTTACTGGTATTTCTCTTTATTGAGAACCCTGACGACTGTGCCAGCAAGGACAATTATAGAGATATTTGCTGCTTGAGCTAAAGGTTTTACAAAGTAGTTACTTATGTTATCAGCAGATACTCTCCATTCATCGCCCCGCTCCGGATCTGTTGTCCACTGTTCCGTGCTTGCT